ACAGAATGTGCATCTTCAATCACCTTCGGCTTCCCTTCGAGCTGAGCGGACCTTTTTTGCGACTCAGCTAGCTCCTTCGCCAAATGCTCGACCTCGGACCCACATTCGTTAATCACTCCATCGATTAATGAGACAAACTGAGCAACAAAATAGACGGTCAGAAACCAAATAAAAGTAATAATAAAAATAAGTTAAAGGTGTACTCGCAAATCTATACCTTGGTTCAATGTTGCGACATCAGACCCGAGCTCAGCGCCTTGTTCGATCAGGGACCAGCCTCGGAACCTTTCGTACATCTCCTCTTCTTGGCCGCATCGGGGTTCGCGCAAGGTCTTTTGCGACCTTTGGCCGAAGAATCCTTTGGCGAGCTGACCACGACAAATTAGCTCACCCAGCCGGCGAGCTAATCGTGCTTGACCAGCTCGCCAGCTGGGCGAGCTGAACCGTCCCGTCCAGCTCGGCGGGTGGGCGAGCTGAACTGTCCCGTCCAGCTCGACCAGGCGGCGAGTGCTTGACCAGCTCGCCGGCTGGGCGAGCTGAACCGTCTTGTCCATCTTGCCCAGCCGGCGAGCTGGTCGTCCCAAACCAGTGCATCATCTTGTCAAGCTGAACCAAACCGTCCAGGTCCCTCTACTCGATCGTACTCTGAACCGTGACCGGAACATCTTTCATTTTGTCTCGATCCGACTTATAGTTGGAGTTTTACGATAAAAACCGCTAAAGACTTGTTTTCTCGTAAAACCTTGAGTAAATAGTATAAAACGGCAGAGGTTAAACGAAACCCCGGACATTGTCAAAACTATACGATTGACTCGAGATATTTTATAAAAACGGCATCGTATCATGAAACGATCCCGTCTAAAATCGTAAAACGACTAAGTCGCAAAACGGCCCGAAAAGTTCTAAAACGCGATAAAGGCCCACTCATAACTTTAGACGAGATCCATCCCACATATATGATGACGGTTTACTCATTATTCGCAGGAAAGATGACTGTCAAGTTTGAAGACAAAATATAAGTTTTCCAAGGAAAAATGGGAAGATCGAGATAAATGGAAGATTTCCGATAAACGCGAATCAGGGCGGAAACGGAAAGACCAACCGCCTAGAAGAGGAGTATATAAGCACAAGGTCTAAGTCAAGAGAGGCAGAATTTTTTTAGACCTAGAGAGACTGTTGTTAGCTTAGACGAAATTAGGACTTAGGTGGCTAAACTGCAAGTCGGTTTCTTAGAACGTTTGTTTGTCTAAGTTCTGTGATTCTCTCTGTTGTAATGGTTTCTCGATCTCTTAGTTCATATCTATATCAACAATAGCCTTTGCGCAATTTTTTTCATCTATATTCGGTTTATCTTTTTAGTTTTAGTGTGTTTCCGCAGAGATCTAGAACCTCTGGAGAATTAGGGTTTTCCCTAAGTTTCCATATTTAACGGAATATCAACAGTGTGAATTTCGGTTCCCACAATATCATCAGTGTAGGACAAGCCACCACATCAGGATGTGAAACAAGGATGAAGGAAGACTATCTCATGTTACATGACAAAGCTGGTAACTTGATCACAAAGGCTAAAAGGTCAAGGAATTGTCTATACAAAGTACTCATGGACATAGTTGAGACAAAGTGTCTAAGTGCTGTTACAAAAAATGAGTCAACAAAATGGCATGCGAGGCTTGGTCATATTGGAGTAGATGTAATGAAAGAAATGCTGAAGAAATAGCTGGTAATTGGAATGCCGCATATGAAGATCGAGAAAGAAACATGTGAATCATGTTTACTTGGGAAGCAAACAAGACGTGTGTTCCCAGAGTCAACACAATTGCGTGCATCACGATTTCTCGAACTCATTCATGGAGACCTTTGCGGACCTATTACACCAACTACAGCAGCAAAGTACCATTATGTCTTTGTACTCATAGTCGACCATTCTAGATATATGTAATCTGTTCTTCTAAAGGAGAAAAGTGAAGCACTGGACAAGTTTAAACGTTTTAAGGCTCTAATGGAAAACGAGACGGGTCTAACCATTAAGACTTTTAGGACAGACAGAGGAGGTAAATTCACATCAAACGAGTTCAACACCTTTTGTGATCTAACCAGAGTTCAAAGACATCTAACCGCCTCATACACACCACAAAAAAATGGTGTTTTAGAAACGCGAAACAGGACTTTAATGAAGATGACAAGAAGCATCTTATAACACATGAAGGTACCAAACTTACTGTGGGGAAAAGCTGTGAGACATGCCACTTACATTATTAAGCGAGCTGTGATAAAGGTACTGAATTCTACTATTCTGTATGAGGTCTTTAAGAAACAAAAGCCTAACATTTCACATCTTCGAGTATTTGGGTGTATTGCGTATGCTAAGTCTGTATGCAGAACGTTAAGAAACTTGATGATAGGACCCTAGTTTTGGTACATTTAGGGACTGAACCAGGATCAAAAGCATATAGAATGTGATCCAACTACCAGAAAAATAATTGTGATCAGAGATGTAGTCTTTGATGAGACTAAAGGTTGGAAGTGGAAAAACCTTGATAGTGAAAAACCTGAGAAACCAGAAATATTTACTCTTAAGTTTGGAGAGTATAGGAATCAAGGTGTAAGAGAAAAAGAAGATACCACTTATACGGATGAAGTGATAAACGAAGAAGAAAGTATTGAAAGTCCAACAACTAATATAAACACAATCAATACAAGAAGATGCAGAACAAGTAAACCTGAGAAGATCAACGAGAATCACTAAACCACCAAGCTTTCTGGAATACTACATATACCTATCTGAGACAAAAGGATAAAGACTCTTTCTCCTGCTCAACGAAGAACCATAGAGCTTTGAGGAAGCTATGGAGGAAAATTTTTGGTGTTATGCATGTGAAAATGAGATCAACTCCATTGTTCTAGAACAAAACATGGACCTTAAAAGACTTACCTGAAGGAGGAAAACCAATTGGTCTCAAATGGATTTTAAAGATCAAATGAAACTCAGATGGAACCATAAATAAACACAAGTCATGGCTGTTTGCAAAGGGTTACATTCAAAGACATGACATTGACTATGAAGAAGTCTTTGCTCCTGTTGCAAGGATTGAAACAGTGAGGTCTATCATCGCATTAGCTGCATCTAACGGTTGGGAGATTCATCATTTAGATGTAAAAACAGCATTCCTACACGGAGACTTGAAAGAATTAGTCTATGTAAGTCAACCAGAAGGGTTTGAAATTAAAGGAAGTGAGCATAAGGTATACAGATTACACAAAGCTTTGTACAGCTTGAAACAAGCTTCAAGAGCATGGAATGAGAAGTTAAACAAAGTACTCGAAGAACTTGATTTTGTGAAATGTTCAAAGGATTTATCCTTGTAGCGAAAGCAAGCACAAATGCATATGTTATTGGTCGTAGTTTATGTGGATGATCTACTTATAACATGATCAAAGATAAGTATGATATACGAGTTCAAGAAGGAGATGTCTGAAATCTTTGATATGAGTGATCTGGGGCGACTTACATATTACCTAGGAATCGAAGTTGATCAAAGACAATAAGGAATTAAACTGGGTCAAGAAATATATGCAATAAAGATTTTGAGTGAAGCATGCATGGAAGACTGTAACTGAGTACAAACACCAATGGAGTTTGGACTAAAATTGTCCAAAGCACCAGAAAGAGCAAAATATAGATGCTAAGGAGTGTCGTTGCATGATTGGATGTCTGAGATACCTCATACATACACGACCTGATCTTGCATTCTCCGTGGGTCTTCTAAACTGATATATGCATGAATCAAAGACATCTCACCGAGCTGCATTGAAGCAAGTACTTAGATATCTTAAAGGTACTTTGTCACATGGACTTGTTTTCAAGTTATCAAATCAAAGAAGTCTTTCGGGATATAGTGATAGTGGTTACAACATAGATGAGGATGATGGAAGGAGCACTACTGGGCATATATTCTACCTAAACAACTGTCCAGTCTCACGGTGCTCTCAGAAACAAGAAACCGTGGCGCTTTCTTCGTGTGAGACAGAGTTTATGGCCATTTTAAAAGGTGCAAAACATGGGATATGGTTACATGAGCTTTATGGAGAAGTGACTAAGACATCAACCATGAGAACAACCATCTACATTGACAACAAATCAGCTAGCACTCACCGAGAATCATGTATTTCATGGACGATCCAAGCATATACATAAACGGTACCACTTCATCCGAGAATGAGCTAATAGAAGTTCTTCATGTTCCGGGCAATGAACAAAAGGCTGATATACTCACTGAAGCACTTGGAAGAATCAAAATTAGGGAAATGAAATATCTTATTGGAGTTCAAGATGTCACACAAGTTCACTTCAAGTTTAAGGGGGAGATTGTTGGATAAGCTTGGAGAGCAAACAACCTAGTTCTATTGAGTTATAGAAAAGGAAACTATCTATTTGTTTATCCTAATGAGTTTAGAAAGTTTTACCTAATGAGTTTAGGAAGTTTGTGTGACTATATATGGAGATACATGTGTTTGCATAACATATGAGTTTTGAGAGATTTGTGTGCTTAAGTTTTGAGTATTTTCTTAAGCTAATATAAGTGAGTTATTATAAATCTTTTGAGTTCATACGACAGAGATTGATAAAGATCATTGTATTATGAACGATAGTTACAAAAAGTATAGTCTGTAATCAAAATCTATAACTTTAACGGATATTAAAATAAACTTCAACAAATAGGATCTATTCGGGATATCCATGGACGGGAGAAGGACGACTAAGGTTAAATTATGAAAGGGCAGCTATTAATTAAGGAAAAAAAATTCATTAGGAGTATAATCTTGTAATTAGCACTTAATAATAGTTGTAAAGCACACAGACTCTTAAACTAAATATTTTTAATAACATCTCAAGTACTGCGCCCATGTGATGTACTATATTTTCATCTCTATAAATAGACCACATGTTCCAAGAGGTTACATGCATCAACACATAATACATACTCACCTTCGACTATATTATAAACTACAAATTTATTTTTCTAATTCTCGTTTCGGGTTTTTAATCAATGGCGAGAATTAATGCCTACCTTTTTGCATTTATTTTGCTTTTGACTATTAAACAAGAGTTTGGTTCCGTTGAAGGCCGAACACTCACCAAGTCCACCGTGACCACGGCTAAGGAAATCGGCGCTGATAGCTCTTTGCCGATGTTACCACCGGCTGAGCCACTTCAGCCGCCACCGAGCCATGGGGTTGATACCTTTAGGCCCACGGTACCTGGACATAGCCCTGGTATTGGACATTCCTTACACAATTAACGGAGATGGACAATGGCATGGTTTATGTGATTATAAATCAATGTTTTTTTAAAATAAAAATGGTACCTGATTAACCATAAGCTCGTGCTTATGTTGTTGTTGGTATTGTTTTTTTTTTTCTGAATATGGCTTCTTATTTAATCTATAATACTGTTTCGTCATATTCAGTTTCTTGCAAGTGTGATTCCGTGATTGTAATAATGCTTAGTTAAATAAACCGTGTTTTTCAATTTATCAGTTTTAGTTTTTGTTTTTGTTTTTGTTTTTGTTTTGAAACCCCATCTATCAATCGAGTCCTTTCTTTCGCTAACTGAACCATACGAAACTAAACATAACTTATAACTTCAACCGCTGCATGGATCAGATTATTAAAGACTA